AATTAAATTTAAAAAAAGAATTCTAATATTGAACTCACAACAAACTTACACTGGTGAAATTTAACACATAATTACAGCATTAATCACATCACATACTTACACTAGTCAATTTAACATATAGTTCTAATATTGAACTCACAACAGACTTACACCAGTTAAATTTAACACTTAATTCCAGCATTAATCTCATTACATGCTTACACTAGTCAATTTAACATATAATTATGATATTGAACTCACATCAAACTTACACCAGTCAAATTTAACATATAATTTCGGCATCAATCTCATTACAGACTTACACCGATCAAATTTAACATATAATTCCAATATTGAACTCACAACAGACTTACACCAGTTAAATTTAACACATAATACCAGCATTAATCTCACACATACTTACACCAATCGATTTAACATATGATTCCAATATTGAACTCACAACAAACTTACACCAGTCAAATTTAACACATAATTTTAGTATTAATCTCATCACAAATGTACACCAGTCAAATTCAACACATAATTCTAGTATTAATTTCATCACAAACTTACACCAGTCAATTTAACATATAATTCCTATATTGAACTCACAACAAACTTACACTAGTCAAATTTAACACATAATTCCAACATTAATCTCATCACAAATTTACACCGACCAAATTTAACATATAATTCTAATATTTAACTTACAACAAACTTGCACCAATCAAATTTAACATATATCCAACATTAATTTCATCACATACTACACTAGTCAAATTTAACATATAATTACAATATTGAACTCACAAAAAATTACACCAGTAAAATTTAAACATAATTCCAACGTTAATCTCATCACAAACTTACACTACTCAAATTTAACATATAGTTCCAATATTAATCTTATCATAGACTTACACCAGTCAAATTTGTCACATAATTTCAGTGGTGGTAATTAACATAGACTTACACTAGTGAAATTAACTTTTAAATCTAGCAGTGGTACTTAACATAAACTTACACCAGTTAAATTAACACTTATATGTTCATGAAACACATCATAAGGTAAACTAGGTATGCTCATAATGGTTCTACTTAATCTATGTATCAATAAAATAAGGCTCTTAGGTATTACTACTCAAACCTTAAATCGAGTGTCCACGTATGACAAGTAAGGCATCAAGATTATGAAAATCATGAAACAATTTGAAATTTGAGGGGTACTCACCTTAATATCCTAAATTTGGCTTTTCGACTTTATCCGAGCTTTTAAACCTTTATCTGGGCTTATGAAAGAAGATGATGATAACTCTTTTCATCTCTTCTTCATATATTTTATTTACACATATAAATATATATTTTTAATAAAATAACTACACATTTTATTTAGATTAAATGGTTTAAATTGAAGATGGAAAATCTCATCCAATCTAATGGTCTATAACAACCCAAGTGAAAATATCTTATAACTTTTGGGAATAATTAATTCATTAAATATTCCACTCTTTCCTTATTTTCATCTTAGAGATGCGTAATTCTTTTATTTTAATTTAGTTACTAATCTCATACAAACTAAATTCTAAGAATTAATTCTTCATCTCATACTTCAAATTTAATCCCACAACACATGAAAATTATTAACTAGCCCTCAAAATAATTTTATTTACCAATCTTAATGAAATTTTGGGGTGTTACATAATTTTAAGGGTAAGTCTATGTATACAAAGATTCTCCATTTATTCGTTGCTGCTTATTACACTAGTATTTTCGCTTGCTTGCGATCCTAAATTTTCTTTTAGCTGAAATAAAATTTTATTAATAAAAAGAATCAAATTCCTAAAAATAACAAGACAACATATAAAGGATATAAGCTCAAATGCAAAATTTCAGTCAATAACTTATTCTAAATTATTAATAAAGATATTTTACTTTATAGCTAATTTAATAAAATTTAATTTTAGCCGTACAAATCAAGCGACTTTAATTATTAAAGGAATGATTATTATCTGTAGAGATTTTGAGTTCGAATATGGCGTATATAAAAGTGTTTACAAATTCATTATCAAACAATTAAAATTTTTTCAAATATATATTATCATATAATTATCTCATACTAATCCTATGTAAAGTGGCTAATAATCAAACCAAAACACAAGTCAAGCCCCAATCAATTTATATGACTAGCTGGATCCACAGAGAACGGAATTCAAGTGTAATATATGATTAAATTGGTTGAGCTTAATTTCAGGAGCAGGTAGAGCTGTTCAAATGATTGATTCGGTGGTTAGTTATCGAACCGATCAAATTCCTTAAAACTGGATTAATTCATTTTTTAATAGTTAATTGAATTAAAACTGAATTAATTTCACGATCAGGTAGGGCTGTTCAACTTCATAATTGAACGTAGTTAATAGTTATGAAGTTGAGATGTCTAAATTGATCTAAAAGTTGAACTACATAATATAAATTCGAATAGAACAGAATCACATGATTCAATTTGAATAGATTTTTTTTTATATAAATTGTATCGGTTTTGTTACTTAGTTGACATGGTGGTGGATTGATTCACAAGTAAATATATGTCTGAGAAACACCATTGAAGACAATTCCTACGACCCAATGGATGGTGTGGATGAATTCCTTTTGTAACATAATGTTATATTTTCAATAATAATATTTTATTTTTACTTTTGAAAATTGTAGGGTCCATCATATGTATCCGTTATGTCCTACAATCATGCTGTGGTTAAATATAAAATTGTGACTTAATCTTCTGAACAGATAATTAACATTAAAAATTAACTTGATTGGTGTTTCCAGAAAAAAAGTTAACTTGATTGGAAAGTGTCTTTTTTTAAATATCACACAAATTAATAACCGAGTAAACTAATACTAAGGGGCTGTTTGTTTACTTCAGAATGATTAAACGCTGAATGATTCAAATGTTGAATGATTCAGAGGCTCTGAATGAATTAGCTCTGAATGTGACATGTTGTTTGATAATGACTCTGAATCATTCAGAATGTACTTCTGTACTGAATCATTCAACACTGTTTTGCTAAATCAGTCAGCACTAAATCATTCAGAGGTGCGAAACAGACACACTAAATGTTGAACGGTTCAACATTCAACGCTGAATGGTTTCATTAAGAGGCAAACAAACACCCCTAAGTCTGTGACAACATACACTATGTGTTTTCCTTTTTATGATTATCAGGGAGCATGATGATAGGTCACTAAAATTACAAGGTAAAAGCTAATGTCTTGGTCATTTAAATCTCTCTATCATGTTGCTATTATTGCAATTGTCTTGTTTTGGTTTTTGTGTAATTTTAGTTCTGAAAAATAGGGATTTTAATTCTGATTCATACATATATATTATTGATTTACTGTCTCTGTTGATTGAGTACTGATCCAATTGAACAAAGATTAAAAGGCTATTCTTTAAATATTGATAGATATACTATTATAAGAATTTTTATATTAACATCTATTTAAAATATTTTTTAATTGATGATAATGCACTTATATATTACAAATATAATCGTTTAAACTCAATATCTCTAAGAAAGATAATGATCATTTAGGTCATTTAATAAATTTTATTACAAGAATTATTATCTTATATATTGGTGATAAAAAATATTTCGCAAATAAGATCGTATTAGTGTGATATGTTCTATTCAAAGTTTAAGATTATAAATTAAAATAATAATTTTTTTAATTTTTTAATTCTTTTAAATAAATCAAATTAAAAGTCACTATCTAAAAACTGAAAACCTGATTAATATATATCAAAACATAAAGTATTGAAATAATTTTTGATAAATATATATTTATTAGAATGAACTAATGATTAATTTTAATAAATAAAAATTCTATATAAAAATCTAAAGATTTTTAAAAAAATCTAATATATTTTTTAAAAGTTCCTTTTTCAAAATTTTGGTAAAGAAATAAATATTATATATAAAAATATAGTTTCTAAACCAAATAAATTTTGATAAGAAATATTGTATATAAAAATCTAATATATTACTTAAATTTCATTTTCAAGATTTCCGTGATTCTTTTCCACTTATATATTATCCAATAATCCAAAGTATCTTTTCAACATTTCTTCTTTTCCACTCCATTTATTATACTATCGTCAGTCTAATGTGTTATGTAAGCAAATAATTTAATAGGAAATTAATGGAAATCACTTGGTCAAAGGGTATGGAATCCACGTGTCATATTCCAAACACACGATTAACATTTATGTTGTACCCCCCACGATGAATGATCTGATGAAGACTCGGACAAACAATTGTGTCTAAGTGTCACACATGTTACTCAAACCCCCAACACCATTTATATTGATTTGCCGGGCCCACCTCCTTTACTTAGTCCTCTCCTCGTCCTTATCCATCTATTTGGATATCTCCACTCTTCTTCATTCTTCTATTGCCAATATTCATTAGTTAAAATTAAATTTTAAAGGGAAAATTAGAGTTACAATGGTTCATAATTGGGTTACAAATACTTTAAAAAAATTAAATGACTACTATAACTCAATTTTATTTATTTTCTACTAATATTTTCAAAACTCTAATTTTCATTGCATGAATCAACTTACCTTAGTGGTTAAAAAAATTATTGTTGTTCCTAGAAGTCATGGGTTCAAACATCAATAATTGCAGTAGGGAGTGATTGAGTTTTTATTATCAACTGGTTGAGAGTTTTTAGAACAGATACTACTTTGTAATCCTTAGGTAATAAAAAAAATGATGAAAACATAAACTAATAGGTGAGTGACCAAATAGGTAATTTACCCTTATTTTAATCTAAAAAAACTAAACACGTTTAAAAATAAATGCATTTAAATTTAAGCTCCACAATAAATCAAAAAAAAAATTTCTTTCAATTTTGTTAAAATATCAAAAGATTGGAAGTAGCAAAAGCCAGATTCATCGTACTAGGAATAGGAAAGGAATATTTTGCAGCTACATCTATATAATGACAAACAAAGAAGACCCAAAAGCATCACGAGGAGAGATATTATTCAAGGAGAAACAAAAATGGTACTGCTTGAGAAGCTGTGGGATGACGTAGTCGCCGGCCCTCAGCCGGAGCGTGGCCTTGGCAGGCTCCGGAAGATCACCACCACTCAGCCCTTGTCAATCAAAGGTTAACAAAAATTAGCTTTTTCATTTGATCGTTTGATGATATTTTGAAGTCATAGTTTGTCACGCTCTTGGAACTGTATCTTTCTTCGTCAGACGAAGGTTCATCTATGGCGATGCCGACGACACCCACGACGCCAACGACGCCGGTGTCGGCGCGTAGGGAGAACGTGTGGAGGAGCGTGTTCAACCCAGGTAGCAACCCTGCTACCAAAGGTATCGGCGCTGCAGTTTTCGACAAACCAGCTCAACCCAACTCTCCAACTGTTTATGACTGGTCCGTACAGATTCTTTTTTCCACCATCCATTTGCATGCATGGATATATAAACTTATCTGTTTTTTCTTAATTACCTTTTTTAAAATTACTAATAATCAGAATTAGAGTCATTTGCTTTCGCTTGCATGGATCTAATAATTTCTGGGAATCAACTAAGACCTAGTAAGATGGTTTGATTTTGACTCAATAGCGGATCCACATATTGTTTAGGGTGGTGGGCACATGTGAACCCTGAGTTTCAAATTTTCTTCTGATAAATATCTTCTTTATCGATTGTTTTTCCTTTAAAATTTTATTTGTACTCATCTCACTTGTATAAAAAATTTATAAGGTTAACATAAGTGTCCATCTTTAAAATATTTTTAAATCTGTTAATATTTTGACTGGATCCTTTGTGGTGATGACAGGCTTTACAGCGGGGAGACCCGGAGCAAGCACCACCGCTGAGTGGCGGAGGAGGAGGCTAGAGATCATCTAGAAGAAGGTTGCTTTCTACTAAACCAGAAGTGGTGTTGCATGTAATATCGTCTTGTTTTAGTAGTAGTAAGGTCCCGCCCGCTGCTAAATAAGGGAATAAATGAAAAGGGTTATGTTTGAAAGTATGTAATGGAATTAATGAAATTTGAGTTTCATGTGGAATAAATTTAATTGTGTGTTTTAATTAAGGAATGCATTATTGAGGTGGTAACAAGTGGATGTTATTAATTAGAACGATAAAGAAGGGTCCAATGAAAATGACAGTATGGCACTAAATATTTATAATTAGAAGGATACAGAAGGATCCAATGGTAATCCAGAATCACATTAATGACCATTTAATTTGATAGGTAAAGAGAAGCTTTTATATGTTAATTCCAGTGGGCAAAGCAATATTTTGGATTGGACAAGTTAACACAATTTAGCTATGAAGTTGCTGATTGTTTAGTGTTTACCATGGCAGACTACATAAGATCGGTACAGAAAGCTCAACTTTACCTTAATCCTCCTCCTCCTCTACGTTACGAAGACAATCCACCAACTTTACCCAAGGATTCTCTATTCACTTCAGAATCGTTTTCGTCCCATATGCACTATTAGATTAAGAAGGTTAAGAAAACCCGCTCTCCCATCTCTTCAATCTCTTCGCTTTGACTTTATTAAGATCCTCATCCGCCAAAGTTGAATCCGTGCTTAATTATTAAAATTAAATTATGTGGATGGAACAAGTTTATCTTATAGATTGTTGATGGCGATAAAGAATCGTGAATGATAAGAGAACCATAGTTGATTGATGTTTTCCTGTGTAAGAGAGAGAATCATATAGAAGATAAAGACGGAGTGTAGATTTTTAGGGTTTGGTCCCTCCATGAATTTTAATTGGGGGATTTTTTAGGGTTTGACCCCTCCATGAATTTTAATTGGATATTTATAGTGACCCTTAACTAATGGTGTAAGACATAGGATTATTATGACGTAAGTCAACTGACTAAATATATTTGATAGTCAAATTTTAAATTTCACTTTGATAAGTCACGTGGGTTTATCAAGAGTTTTTTCATATACTATAGTATTCTCGATGATTTGTGCACGGAAGATATGGGTTCTTCTATAGCACTGATAAGCGGAGAGGTTTGTTTAAAGACCCTGTTTGATAGAAAATTTGTAATTTCTACTCATTTCTGGAGGAGGTTTAAAAGTTTTCGGAGGTCATCTTCATATGTATAACAAATAGTCCATCGATCGAGGGAATGAAATAAAGTGATTTGATCTAAGACATAATGACCATATGCTGATTCTGTTTAATATAAGGGGTGTCTTAATATTATCGTATTCGGGATAGGAGTCGTTCATTTCCCTTTTAAGAGAGCCTGACTGGTAATAAATGGGATAGGGGTCGTTTAATCCTTCTAATTTGGGCAGAGAGTCACATCTGGTGCATAAACAAACATTATCTTGTGTGATTTTTTTTTGGTATTTGGGGAAGGTATCTTAATCCTTTAGGTAAGTTTGTACAGGGACGGATTCACCTTATGGACGGGAGGGACAGTTGCCCCCTAACATTGATAGGCTAATTACATTTTAGGACATTGGACATTTTGAAACGGTTAGAATTATTAAGTCCTTGTCCCTTTAAATTTTTTTATATAAGTATTTTTGGGATACTATCAATTTTAAAATTAATAGAATTAAATCTTGACCTAAAATTTATATAAATTTATTATTTTTTTAAGACATTAAATTTTTTAAATTAGCATAATTAAAGTCTCAATCTCTTAATTTTTATGATTTAATTACTTTTTAAATCTTATTTATTTTAAAAGTAAAAAACTTACCCTAGAAATTTAAATTATGATTACAGTAGCATTTTTAGTTGCGTTTATCGTGACTATGAAAATAGCAGATGCTATTGTGGGTATTGAGATTGAGTAATAACGATTAATAGTAGAGGAGTGATCAGGAAGCTTTAAATCCTCCAGTGTAACTATGGCAAGAGGTTTCTCTGTGCCATTATTACTTAGTAAAGAACCTCGATGCTATGTCTGAGCGGAGGCATACTTGTCGTGTGTTAACATGAAAGTTTCTATGCTCAGAGTTCTCAATGTCTGATATGAGGTATGTGTTTAGAGACGGGGGTGTCTTGACACATAAGTTTAACCCTAAGACGAAGGTTTTTTCGTCAAAGTCCGTGACGCTAAATGCGAAGGCTTATATAAGGGTGTGATGTTCTCTATGCAACATTCTCAACGCTAAATACAATATTTTATGTAAGAATATGAGGGTAAATCTGTCATGTTCAAATGTGAAAACTTGTATGTGCATAGGTTCTATACGCCAAATGTGGAGGTATTATAGGATAAAGTCTTCTTCGCATTTGGATTGGAAGTAATTAAAAAAAATTAGCATGAGGTGGGCCATGGCCTAAGTAAACCCATGCATGCATCTACCCCTGTCCATAAGCGGAGAGATTTGTTTAAAGACACAATGTTTGATGAAGAGTTGACACTTGACAGTTTTCATATATTATTTCTGACGGATTTTCAAAGGTCATTTTGGGAGGCACAGCAAATTATAGCGTCACTATTTATATTTCAAAATTAAACTAATTTAATAAAATAGATTGGAAAGAATATTTTAAAATATCAATTATAATATTTTCATAACGTCAAATTATAGGTAATTGCGCTTAAATGTATTCAGTTTATGAGTTTTTACTTTTTTAATGTTATAATAATAACGAGAACGACTTAATTAATACTTAGTTTACATGTTGAGAAGAATATTAAGAAATGAAATTAAAAAAAAATTGCTTGGTTTTTATTGAAGGTGATGCACTTTTAATATGAATATATATATATATATATGATCTGGTTTAATTTGAATTTTACAATACAATTTTAAAATATAATATTTATAAAAAAATATTAAATATTAACATTATAAAAATATGTATAATACTATTTAGATATTCAAATAATAAAAATAAAAATATTTAAGGGTAAAATACACAAATGGTCCCCGACTATAGGGTACTATTTTATTAAGTCCCTCGACTATTAAAAGTTACAAAATGACCCCTCTGACTATAGAATGTTATTTTGTTAAGTTCTTCGACTATTAAAAATTACAAAATGATCACACAATTATTCATTATGTTTGGTCACCGACTATTCATTATGTTTCAAACTCATCCTTTTTCGTTAAAAATGTCCGGTTGTCTAAGTTGGACATTAACATGATGACTGGGATATGATAATCATTTGAGATTCTGTGATTAGATTTTATCATGTCACAGTCAGCAGTTAACGTTCAACTCAGAATACTGTCAAATTTTGAACGAAAAAGGGAGTTTGTAATATAATGAATAGTCTGATGACCATTTTGTAACTTTTAATAGTCAGGGGACTCAACAAAGCAACACTCTATATTCAAATGATTATTTTGTAACTTTTAATAGTCAAAAGTATCCTCTTATCAGGGACCATTTGTGTACTTTACCCAATATTTAATAAATTTACACTCTTATAATGAACTATTTAATTAAAAAATTCTATTTAAAAAAGTTTTAATTTAAAAATCTATTTAATTATCGTACAAAGTATACAAATGGTCCTCTAACTATAGGACATTGCTTTATTGAGTCATTTGATTATTAAAATTTAAAAAATGATTCTCTTACTATAGATCATTGCTTTGTTGAGTCTCCCGACTTTAAAAGTTACAAAATGATCACTCAACTACTAATATATTCCAAACTCTTTTCCGTTAAAAAATAACTAACGTCTGAGCCATGTTAACTTAGATATGATAAAATCATATTTTAATGATGTCTAATAGGACCACTGTTTCTTTTGAGCACTGGCTCGACGACATAATATTTCAAGTATTGGCTCGACGACATAATGTTTCAAGTATTGGCTCGACGACATAATATTTTAAGCATTGACTCAAAGATATAATGCAAACAAATACTTGATTCACAAAACATAGCTTAAACAATTCTAATATCATATTTTATCATATTCCGACTCAAACAAACGTCAATTTTTTAATGAAAAAAAGATGAGTTTAGAACATATGAATAACCGAATAATTATTTTACAACTTTTAGAGTTTGTTTGTTTCACGTAAAATATTTTTCGGAAAACGTTTTCCTTATTTTCCAGTGTTTGGTTAGAGGAAAATTGGTTGATCAGCATAAAACATTTTCCTGGTCAAAAAAATTTTCGTTGTGTTTTTTGGAAAATGACTTATGGTAGGATTTTTTGTAAGTCATTTTCTGAAAAGTTCACTTCAAAGAATAAATACTCAAAATAATTTATTTATGAATTTAATATTAATAAATATTTTAATATCATTTAATCAAATATTAATTATTAAATATTTTAATATTTTAATATTTCTAATATTATAATATTATATTTTTTAATATTATAAAAAATATTCAATTATATTATAATAATGTAAGACATTATATTAATATTTTAATAATATATAATAAATTATAAATAAAATTTATATTATTTATTTATTTCATAGAAATAATATTACTATTTATTAATAATGAATATATTATTTATGTATTTAATATAATAAAATAATCTAATAATATTTTAATAAAGATATTTAAAATATATTAAGTAATAATTTTTAAAATATAATATAATACTATTACTTTAATAAATAATTAATATAATTTATAATATTACTAATCTTAATATTTTAATAATAAATAAATAAATTATTCTAATATTTTAAAATAATACTATAATATTAATTTTTATGATAGATAACATTATTTATTATATTTAATATTTGTAGTAAATAACTTTTTAAAAAAATTCATTAACTAATGAAAAATGATTTGCAAAACCTCTCCTAAATACCGTAAAATGTTTTTTAGAAAATGTAATTTATTTTACGAAAAACTTTTTTTGAAAAAAGTTTTCAGTGAAACAAAGAGACCCTTAATAGTTTGCAACTTAATAAAACAATGTCTTATAATCAGAGAATCATTTTGTAATTTTTAATAATCAAAGGACTAAACAAAATAATACTTTATAATCAGTTAATTATTAATTAACTTTACCCTCAATTAAAAAATTCATTAAATAATCAATATAAA